GGTGGTGAAAGAAGGATCTGTTTACTCAAACACTTTTACCCCTTCCTTTTCCTTTTCTTTGTAACACAAGTCAATTTATCTCTCTGTATTAAAAAAGAGGAGTGGACTGGTTCAGCAGTAATGGAGCAGTTTCATTTAGCTGTGAATGTCTTGTGAGACAAAAATCTATCATGCTCAGAAAAGAACAGGCTTTACAGCCTGTTCCTTGTGCCACCAGACAAATGCTTCCTCTCTCTCCTCACCCAGCCTCCAAGAATAAATAATAAATGTATGGAGAAACTGTCCAAGAAGCAAAGCAGTGAGCAGAAATGCATCCCAGAGGGGCAATGAAGTAAATAAAGCTATATTCATCTTCCTGGAAATGCCCTGCTACAAGATAATAAAAAAAGGAGGTAGGATCATTTCTTGTCCTCCAGTTTTAACAAGATTCTGAGGAGATCTGTTAAGCTTTCATGATGTTAACAAAACTACCTGAATGCAATAATGCAACTTATTTATGCTTTCTTGGACAAAGGTCTTTTTGGCTGGCACAACAGAGAAGTATTTAGAAAATAGTGGGTGGAGACATTTGGATTTTACTTTGGGATGAATTCCAGGTCTGAGAAACCTGCTTGCTGCTCTCCCATTCCCTGCTCAGTCACATGCAATACAAACTGGCTCTTCTTTATTTCAGAACAGATTATTGAGTTTGCTCCTTCACTGTCCACCAGCTGTTATTACTCCCTCTGGCACTTGTGCCAGCACTTCCTTCAGAGACAACCCCAAATGCATTGGAATTAGTAATATGGCTCACAGGACTAAGAAGGAAATGTCTAGCCAGAGTAAGTGACAACAACTAGTCGGGTCTGCCAATGATAGATGGATGTTTGCTGGAAGGAGCATGCTTCACCTAAAAAGGCTTGGATATGTAAGGGGACACTGCAGAAATGAGTAGACCTGGAGGAGACCTAAATAAAGCAACAGAAAATATAGATAGATTCAAATCTCATTTGATTGATTGTTCATATTTAGACATCCAAGCTAAAAGAACCCAAGTAAATTACAACAGCAACGAAGAAGTCAGTTTTAACAACAACAAAAGAAGTAATCAACCAGACCATTCCATGTTTGAGATATTTCATCTTGCTGAGTCAATGATACTCTCAAAAATATGTTTTAGGTCAGTAGGTTATGACACTGGAGGGTTTCAGAAGGGAATTGTGTGGGTTCTCCCTCAGACATTTTACTACTGAGTGCACAGCATGGCTTAAGCCATGCAGAAGGCTATGTGAACTGCCGAAGATAGTGGCACTTGGGAAATGTGGGTCTTATTCTCTGATTTCCCTCAGCAAGTGCCTTTCAACCTGCAATTTTTCTCTTTCCTGACATGACTGGAAGCTTTTGAAGTATGTGGGCTTTCTCAGTAGGTTTACCTACTGTCCAGTGTAGTGGGATCCCAAGTCACCACTAGGGTCTTTGCTAGCATGTAAAAGAAGATGACAAAGAGTATTTCAAAGGAAGCTGCTCTGCTGGAAGATTGAAAGCAAGAAAAGAAAACAAGCACTCAAAGGTGTCCCAAAGTAGCACCAGTTTTGAGTCAAAAGGAAAAAACAAACAAAGAAAATTAAATAAAGAAACAAACAACAACAACAAAACCACAACAAAAAAACAATCGCAAGATTAAGCCAAGTACTTCTGGCTAGTCTTTTTCATCTCACTGTAAAGCAGAGCAATCTTTACAAAATGATAAAGCCATAAAAGGCTGTGGTTGTTTCTTTTAAATGAACCAGAGCAGAGATGGTCTCCTCTCATAGTATCACAAAGGTCAGAATTAGCCACCCCTAAGACTAGCAGGTTCTTGAAATGTTCAAGTGCTTGTATCTTGTCGTTATGACTAATCCACTCTCCAGAACAAGAAAGGTCAAATGAAGAACACTCCTCCAAATAGTGCAACAACTCTTTGCCATGGCTGATGTGTAATGTGCTCCGACATGGTGTCAACAGCTGCTCCTGAAAACCCAGTGAGTCAGCCTTTCAGAAGAGCTTGTCAGCTCCCACTGTTTGAGTTTTCATACAGATTATATTTACTCCCCAGTGTTTAAAAATAGCCTTCCTAAACCTTGAAATCATAACATGTTTTACTTCCAGAATTGTCCTCTCCCTGAGACACCCAAGCATCTCTCTCATGTGAGAGCAAACCTTCCTAGCTCTTCTTTCATCTACTTTTCCCTTCACACGCTGACAACCAAACCAAAGGCAGGCCCCAGTATCTGAAGCCACATACAAATAAAGAACTTCTGTCTCCTTTCACAACTTTTACCTTCAAACCACAGTCAGTCCTCCAGCACACTGTGAGGTTAAGTGATCTGCTCAGCAGATAGAGTACAGAGATGATGGTTGACTTGCCTTTGGTCCTAACCACATAGGCACGTATCCCCTATTCTAATCACCAACCTCCCTTGCATGCTGTCATTTAAATAAGAAGGCCTATTGGAAATGACAGGTGAAGAAAGCAGTCCAGGCATGAAATGCACCCTAAAGTATATTAATAGAAGGCTGCCAGACAAAACAGCACAAGGCATTTGATCGCATCATCTAGGCTTGTTGTTCATGCTCCTCTGCATCTGGCTGCGTGATTTCTGCCAGATTCTCAGCTGGAGGAGCAGGCTAGGATTTGCCTGCTTCCCCTAAACCGGGCCGGGCTCAGCTGCAATCATGCAGAGCACTGAAAGAAATCCCTTTGAGTTGGGATTCATTCTGAACATGTAAAACCCAGACAAATGACTGCTTCTCCAAAGTGAATCCCATTTCACAGCAAGTAGGTTATTAGTGTGGAACTCCATACAAGTAGCCTGCATTCAAAAGCCCTCTGCATTATTAATAGAAGATGAGCTTTTGACATCAAAGGAGAACCATTATGCATGCTAAATGGTGGCAAAAATTGTACCCGCACTTCAAACCTTTTCAATTCTTTGTCCCTTGTAAATCAATCAAGGTTGACAGATGCTTTAAGGAGAGTAATCTTTTCAATGATACTGTCAATGGATAACATAATGGAACATTGTCTCTGTGCTGTGTGAAGACATGGAGCTAGTCAATTATGGACAACACTTCATGCAGCCGCCAGTTTTCACTTGAAGTGCTGCTGTTGAAGTATTATAATCCCAACAAATGGCCGCAGCAGCACACAATGTAAATGAGACCTCCTGAAGCTTTGGAAAATTAATTAGTAACAACAGTGGTCCATTCCCACACTTTCAAACACCCGCCTGGTAATGTTAACGATGCACTTCCCCCCTTCCCTTTGAGCAGTCAATAGGGCATATTTACATACACTATTTTTAATCTTCAACACTTTTCTTTCCCTTCTTTTAGAAAACATAGGAAGCTCTGGATTCTTTTCCTCTCTTTCCAGCAGCAATATTCACCCCTGATATTTCTAACTAGTCATATAACCCACATGACTGCAGCTGAAAAGAAGGAAACAGAAACTTTCCCACTCAGAGCAGTAATATTCACTCCTCTTGCTTCCCAGATATGGGACACTTCATGGCTTTCTCCTTTTCCAACATCTCTATACCCTCAGCTGTCCTGGTAAGAATGACTTGGCTGGATGGCAGAGGAAAGGCTTCTGGGCTTCAGAGATCAGTAGAATGTGGGTTGGAAGCTCAGCAGTCCGAGTATAACACCAAAGTCAAACTGTGGTGCTCTAGACATCAAGATGCATGTCTGATAGCTGGTTTCTACAAAAAGGAGATTGAGAGTCAAAGGGTAGAGACTGCTCTGTATCTTTACCTATTGGTTTCCATTTCCTACATCATTTTCTCAAAGATTTTCCCATTGTCAACTGAGACTTCCACTAAGAGGAACACAATCTCCCACAGTAACTGAGAGAAATCCCACCACGAAGAAAATGGTCTTTTTCCCAATTATAGCAAATGTTGCTGTGCAGACTCAACTACTTCTTAGTCTGATATTAGATTTTGTTTCTCTAGAGCTAAACACTTGGAATGTTTCTCCACCACCACTGCCATAGGCTACTTGAGATGACTCTGCTGAGGAGGCAGGCACTATGCCCAGCTGGAGAAGACTCATGCTTCTCTCTCTGTAGCAGGAGGATGAAGTATTAGCAAGAAGGGGATAACAGAGACTGAGAAAATATATAGTGGGTAGCAAAAGTGGGTAGAAACGTAACAGATGTAAAACCAGGACCTAAAAAGTAGGTTCTTCCACTCCTTTTTGCTTGGTGCAGGAATCCAAAGTGATTTTAAAATGAATTTGTTCCTACCATATGTGCCAAATGTCACTCACTGCCCTTCCTCCTGATCACTGAAAGTTGCCCTAAATCCACCAGCTTCTCCAGAGCAACTACAACAAGTGCTGGATAAAGATCTTTTCTATTTGAAGCTCACTCCTAAGATATATATATATCCTCTACCACTTCATTTATAGGAGCTTGCCATCTATTTGCAACTCTCAGGGATAACTACACACAAACTTTCTTCTAAGTTACAAGACACATATTGAGCGATTGCAGGTTTTCTTGAAAAATGTTTTTCCACAGTAGGATCAAATAATTTTAAGAGCATATATAACCCTTGTCACAACTTGCAACAGAAAATTATCCAACCGTTTTCATCAAGTTTATTTTTCTAACCTCTACTTGATATTATACCATTATTTAAAGCACACAAGTCAAAAGTCTGTGAATGCAATGTAATATAAACAGTGAAATACTAAACCTGATGCACTGCATCAAAAAAATCTTCTGATAAAGATTAAATGTACTAATAAATCAGAACCAAAGGTTATAATGTGGAAGACAAAGAACTTGCTTCTAACAATACATGAGATCACATTGTACCACTTTGGAAGAAAGTAAGAGGAAGGATAATGGCAAATCACAACTAAAATTTTAAATAGTCCTATATTCATATTAAAATTAGTACAATTCAATTAAATTAGAAATTTATCATCACAAATAAACTGGACACACACTTAAATGAATTAAGATAACTTACGTAAGAGAAATCTTCAGCATTCTGACAGAGCAGCCTGGGGAAAACAGCCTGTCGCTGAAATCTTTCCTCGTTTTCAAAGATGTTCCCATACATGAAGCCATTCATCATGGTAGAGTGCGCATGGATGTCAATGTAGAACTCCAGGTTAATCTTCTATTAAGGGGGAAAAAAGCAGATAAAAAATAAAACACCAACAAACGACGAGATAAATCATAACTGTGGTATGTAGGTTATGCCTTCTGTAAATCTACTACTGCCATCCACAGATATATCCATGTTGCCAATGCCGGGTAGCCATGATAAAGACACTCTATTATTGCATCCAGCCATCACACCTTCCTACAGAACCTTGACAGACATTTCTCTATCTGTCCTGAGCAGGCTGAAACATTTATGCAGCACAGGATAACATGCAAAATAAAGCTAAGGCATTCTTCTTCGCATTGCCACAGGGTCAGTGCCATTGATAAAAATATGTACCTTGCAGTTCCAGAGCAAGACTGTTAAGGCATTACTGCGTGGCTGTGTGTTACAGTACACAGATCTATCCTTTCTGGCAGCTCAAAACTGTGTAAGTAAGAATTCCTTCAAGATTTCCCATGTAGTTTATTTCTGTTTATAAAGACAAATACCACAAATTTCTAATCCCGCTTTACACATGGAAATTTATTTTACTCTGCTTTGTAGCATCCAACAGAAAAAAAATATCATAATAAAGTGCTGTGAACGCCTCTGCTTGTAGCAACCCTTGCCAGTAAAATGCAATGTGCAGCCCTCCACACACATCTGGTCTGCACACAAAAGTTGCTCAGGCTACTGGAGAATACTGAGCTACATATCAGTTGAATGTATTACAAAAGCAGTTCATGTGACAGCAGTGTCAGCTCTTCTAGAGAGTCTCTAATGGGGGGAGAACATCATTTGGTATGTGATACTAATATGATACAGATTTACGTTCCCTTGGCAGAAAACCAATGTACAATACACACTGAATGTTTAGTTTAATTAAACAGCCTAGAGAGAGTAATACTGCATCTTATTAAGCCTCTCCAATGTTAAGATGTTAGCTAAGGCAATATCGATATCTGACCATGCTTCATAGGAAAAGAACATTTAATTGTATTTGACTCTAAAACAATAAATTGTCTGCTAGTGCCAAAACATTTTGCTGTGCTGTAGAGGACCAACAGGGCAATAAAGCATGCATCTGCAATTTGGAGATACAGCACTAAAAAGAAAGATTAGCATCAACAGGATGAAACACCACATATGATTTTCTTCCTCTCCAAACATGCACAAATTAAAAATTAAGATTGAATAATGTTGTTTTTTTTTTTTTTTCCATGAGATAATATCCCCATCAGAAACAGCATTTGTTGAGATCAAATGTACACCTCTCCATCACCATAAAACTGATTGTGTTGTAGATCTCAAACAGTGACTTAGTGTTGAAGGGAGGAGATAATCTAGTTGCAGTGGGTATTTATAAAGCATGAACGTCCTTCACAAAGAAGTCAGTGACCTAAGACATGTTTATTCTAGAACAACTAGAAAGAGTTCTTCATAGGGACGTAGTTAGTAATATAAAATAATTGAGAAGCACAGCAAGATATACCATAGACTAGTATCATTTGTGTCTTAAACAGCACAATTAAAAGCACTGGCTTAGGTGATATAACCTGTGCTAAAGTATCATATGATACTTCTTCATCCATAGTTCTCAAAAGAACTTCCAAAAGAAACAAACAAATGCACAGAAGCACAGATCAGTCATACAACTTTCCATCTGGTTATTAATTCTGTGATTCTGTGATTATCTGGCAAAAAACCCACCCCTGTAGAATATGTGTAAGTGGAACCCCAGCTTAGCTTTGATTTGACCAAGTCAACCAACCTTACACAGTATCAATAGACAATTTTCCAAAGTCTCTTAGGATTCTTACTAAGAAGTTACTGGTAAAGGTGTTCAGGGGAATTTTAGGTAGTCTCTTGGCAGTACTGAGGTTTTTTTTAAGATCTGTCTTGATTATCAAAAACATTTTATGGTGGTTATTATTTGTGAGCAAACACTGTCATAGAATCATAGAATTGCTCAGGTTGGAAAAGACCTTCAAGATGATGAAGTCCAATCGCAACCTAACCTGTTCCTGCACAGGCAGCACCTTGACCTAAAGATTAAATTTCCAGATTGCTCATTTGGAAACCATGACATTCAACATAGAACTCATCACTTAGACAGGTGATCAAACATTTATCCATCTTGAGCATTCTCCATTATGGAACAGGATGACTTGGTCCACTGTTAATATATCACGGGTTCCTAATGGCAAAATTCTCTTATTCAAAGGCATAGAGATATTCTGGCCTCCATGTGGTTGACAACAGCTTACCACTAGGATATTAACTCGAAGTAACTATGTTTGAAGACATGTTCTGCAGAAGAAATAGGACAATCTGCAGAACGAAAATGAGATGTGGTGAATTTTAAAGGGAAAATGAAGTCAGTAAATGTACATGTCTGTTCAAATGTGCAGACATGAACACACTTAGAACATAATCCAATCTAATCCACTGTTGAAACCCATGGACATTTGACAGCATCCACTCAGCAGAACCCATCCTGGCTATGGCTTCTAATGCCGTAGCATCTACAAGTGAGAATGGGAATAAAGTTTGATGTGGCTCAAACTCCGATAGTTACATTTGCTTCAGCTTTTAAGCAGAAAATAATGAATAACGAAGCTCAAACATTTCCGGCTGCCATTACTGCCTTCTCAGAGACTACAAGTTACATCCTACAACATTATATTAAACTCATCATTTTCTGCTTTAGAGGTGGAATGCAAAATGATTCAGATGCCTTATAAGAGTCATCTATCAATTTAATTCCCCCAAGTGTCTTTTCTTTGTGCTTACAAGCAGCAGCAGAGAGCTTCTCTCTCATGCTCTCTTTTTTAAGTAAACCTATAATTACCTGGATGACCCGAGCATACAGAGTTGAGAAAACAAATGCAGCTCTGCTATTTCTTTCCTCTGTGTGTCAAAACACTCACTAGATTGACAACGATTGAACCCCACTTCCTAGAAAACAACAGTTAACACCTCTGCTTTGAAAAAAATGGTCTTTGCCTCTTCTTGATGCTTACTACATAAAAAGAGAGTAAATGAATAAGCAAACAAATTTCTGCTCCAAAGTTTATTTGAATCCCTGCCTTTATGACACATTCTTTTCACTGTTCTCTTGGGTCAGAATAAAACTTCTGACAGCTTGAGAAATGCACATACAAATTAGGGAGGGGAAAACGAAAGAAACTATGGATAGAGAATGAAAACTCACATTCACTGTTACAATGTGAAACAGTACTGAAACTGTAAACTGGTATGTGATACCATGTGAAGTGTTTTAAGAAAGTGTTCTCACTTGTCTGAGTATTAATTTCATTAGTCAGACGCCTTTAGAAGGTCAGTAAGGAGCAAAAGGAAAGAGTGATGTTAATAGCCAGTGCCAATATGACCAAAATTGGATTTTTGAACAGTACAATTATGATTCTTAAGGAAATAGAAATTAAAAAAAATCAATAAAGGCTGTAATAAAAAGATAAATATGCATTGAGCCCAGAACATGGGCCACTAGAGAGGTAAGTGATGCAGGAAAAAGCCAGCTCTGTTCACCAGCTGTCACTCCAATATGGATATTATTAATTTTTGGACATAGCAATTGGTTTAGACACAGTCCCAAAGCCTTCTTCAGTCCAATATATCATACAGGGGATGGGATAAACTCCTTGCAGTGTTGTATGCAAGACATTAAAACCATTAGCTTGTCGTTAGTGGTAGAGGACATAACAGCCTCCAGGCACACTGTCCAGCCTTACTGCTCAGTCACTGTTTGAAGCAAATAGACATATAGCAGTTGGCACCACATAAGGAGTTTGTCCTTTTTTGGTCAGAAAGGATTCAGAAGTTCTGAGAACACCTGCTCTTTGAAGTTTCCTCAGGTTTAGAGTCTCTCAAAAGAAAACTGTGCAAACATCTCACACATATGTCTTCAGATATGTACCATATAAACCCCATGATAATATTTTGGCAGCTCCTACATGTGATACCAGAAAACTTAAGCACAGCAAGCTCATAAGACAAACCAAGGAAAACTGATTATTTAGCATCACATGTTCAGCAGCCGACATTCAGCTAGAAGCCATCAGTCCTTGCCTTCTCAGCTACAGGGCACTCTGCCCAGCACCCTGATTCACTCTAAGGATGCACAACACCCATCTATCACTGACTACAAAAGAGAACATCAGGCAAATTTTGGGCGGTCTGGATATGATTCGTATTTTCAAACTTCCCCTGAAATATCCAGATTTGGATGAGGTTAATTGTGCTGAAATCACTTTTCTTACTTCTGCCTTCTTACACATTTCTCCGTAAACCTGATAAGGCTAGTATAAAGCCTCAAAAAAAAAAAAAAAAAAAAAAAAAAAAAAGTTGATTCTATAACTTCTGGAGCAAGAGATGCCCACAGTGTCTTCTCCAGTTCTGCAGATGATACATGTAAGCCATGCATTATTAGAGTACTATTTAAGAGACATGCCACTATCCCTTTGTAACCACAGAAGCAACCTCATCATTCCCCTTCCATTCATCACCACTGTGCAACACTATGGCAATGGCAGCAATTATTTACATAAGCAATTAATAGTAAAAAAGTGGCTTACTATTTTTAAAAAACTTCTAAACTTCTACATTTAAAAAGTATCTCCTCTTCTTGCTTCTAGTGAATGGGAATATGTCAGTTTAGATACACTCTTATTCTTACTGACATCAAGCACAGAAGTCAATTTCTCCTTATTCTTATAGATAGAGACCTTTGCACAATCTGAGAATGTCTTAAGTGTTCCTGAAAAACAGCTTGCAAAATGTGCATCAATGTTTGTGTAATCTACTAGCAGTTCTTCATGATGTTTCATTCATTTCTTTTCAGATTGTTTCAATAATGTTCTGAGAGCTGTTGTTTTACAGAGTGGACTAGTCCAAATCAGCTGCAATTTAGAAGTCATTATTTACCCATCTGATTACACGCCAATTTCTCTATCTGAATGATACTTCTTAATAATAGGCACAATCTGACATGAGTCAAAGAGGATAGAGAC